ATCAAAGGTGTACCAAAACTGTTGGAGCTTGTAATTCATAGAATATTGCAAGATAATCTTAGGTTAATAGCTTGGAATGATCAGTGTGAGATGTAGATTATGTTAGGATAGAATTGAGCAAGAATTGAAGAGGTTGATATCAGGTGAAAATGGTGGAACCAAGCTGTTATACTTATCGGGTTCAATTCTTGAGTGAATTTTAGAAGGAGATATTGATAGGGTTGTGTAGAGGGAAGAAAATAGACCAAGTTTGCTTTTCATAGCATGTGATTTCATGGACAATTGATGGAGAACAGAGGAGTATAAGATGCGTGCATGGTGATGAAGTTTCAGAAACCCTAGGGTTTCTAAGGTTGAAGACAACCTTTTGGCCACACGATCGTGACGCTGACTTTGACTTGGTTCCTCATCCAACGGCCGTGGATTGAAGATGAAAACGGAGGGAAATTCAAAAGGTGCAACGCACCGTTTCATTAAACCACAATCAGACTAGGCTGTGAATTCCTTGCTAATGACACCCCCCAATGCAGGCCCAATGTGATTATGCCTAAATAATTCGCTATTTGCACCGTTTCTGCTTTTTTTAATTTTGTGTTATATTTTCTGACTTGCTGGGCCCAGACGCGCTTGCTATGCGCGCCCCCTGTCTGGGCCCATTCTCCTTTTTCAATTGATTTTCATTACTCATAGCACCCCTTTCCATTTAATTCTCATTTAATTTCTTTCAAAAATGTTAATTCTTCAAAAAATCATAAAAAATAGAAAAATGCATGATTTTCACTGGTTCTTTTTGCATATTATTCATCATTTTGTTAAGAAAATTATCCCATAAAAAAATTAATATTTCATTTTATTTTCATATTTTTGGCATATTTTTCTTTTAAATAGGTGTAAATAACATTTATTTTAATGCATAAATTTGTTAATTTTGGTTTGATTAAATGCTTTAACATCTTTAATCCATTCTTTTTAGGTTGATTAGTTTAGACCTTTATCTTGTATATAAAATTTAGTTCATGATTTTAGAAATTAATTTTAGGTGATTTGTTTAGGTGTGAATAACATGATCAAAATTAGGGTTTTAAGATAACATAGGTGAATTAGTTCATTCCCCTTAGGAGTTGTAGATTGATTTTTTTTTGGGTATGGGACTATAGGGATTATGGGTAGTTATTAGATCCCTTAGAGAATATTAGGATTCCCCTACTGCTATTAGTATACTGCTTATATCTGCTTGACTGTGTGGTGTGCCCTCTTTAGGGTTTATTATTCTGTCTGTGTGGGGTATTGGGATTGCTTTAGGGATTGGGAGAGCTGAAGACTTGTGATGATGAAGGCCATTAGAGATCAAGAGATTGAAGACCAACTTCCAGAGTTGATGAGGAGATTCCTGTGTTGGCAGCTGTTGAGGAGTATAGGATGTAGAAATTAGGCAGAGCCCTAGAATAGTAGCTTGATTCACAAATATGGAATGCCTTGTCTGCATCCATTCTTTCTCTATGATTCAAAGTCTCTTTCAAATATCCACCTCCTTCCTTTGGAAGGATCAGTGAATATATTTGAAAGATAGAACTTTTGAGAGAAAATTGTCTGTATAATGTTAACAGTTGATGAGCCACCCTTGGTAGGCAGTTTACTGTTTAACATTCATTCTATCTTGTTGATTGATATTCATCCTGGAGATTTGAGACTTGAAGAATAGCCATTGAAGATGGAAGACTGATAATCCAAGACCTTGCTTGAAGGCTGTGGAGATGGAGATTGATGCTTGCTGAAGCTTGTAGCTGTTTGGAGATGACTTGAAGTCAGATGTTGATGCAGAGCTGCTGTGGCTGTTTATTTTTGCTGTATTATTTTTTGATGTATTGATTGGTTTTCCTTGACTGTATTGTTTGCTGTTTAACCTGTTGGGTTGAAAGTGAATCTTGTTCACTTTTGCCTATTGTTTTCTAGGTTCGAGGTTGAGTGGGACTCCCTTGCCTCGCTTGTGCTGCTGCATTCATGCATTTTACTGCTTTATGGTATATATGCTATTGTTTCTGTTTCCGTCTATTCCCTTAGGATCTCTGTTTCTCTCTGTGCAGGAGAGGAGCATGATAGACACTAGGTCTTAACCCATGCATGATAACATTAGGTTAGTTTGATTCCCTTTGCAACCGTAGGTTAGAGTTCTGTCTCTTCCTTCTCAAAACAAACAGAAAAACACAATAAGATGTTAAACACAATAAAAGACACTTTTTCCGTAAAAGAATGTGAACTCATCAAGACGTCATTTTTGTCCGCTTGGACCAGTAATCAGAAAAACCTTTTTCAGAAGGAATAAAATCAATCAAGACAGACTTGTGTTGTATGTGGCCCGAACTACGTTTGCTCTGATATTTCATGCTGTATGAAAGTACGTAGGCATAGGATGCGATATCCTAGCGAGCAACCTTCCCCTCCTTTCCAGTAGGTAGGCGAACTACGTTGACTCTGATTTCTCGTTCCAGACGGGAATACGTAGGCATAAAGTGCGATACTTTGCCGAGTCATTTTCTTTTCTTTTAACCCCTGACCTTTAGTTTAGATAGAAATAACAATCCATACCCGAAAACAAGCGTGGATCCCGTCGAGTACGACGGACGTGAGGGGTGCTAATACCTTCCCCTTGCGTAACCGACTCCCGAATCCAGGTTTTGGTTGCGATGACCATCCCTTTCCCCGTTTTGCGGTAGGTTTACCTCGAGCGTTTCCTTTCCCTCCGTTGGGATAAATAACGCACGGTGGCGACTCTTCTATTCAGCCGGCGCCGATTTTCGCAGTAGCGACAATTACCATATTACCGGCAATCAGGAAAAATAATTCATAAAATCCCAACATGAAACTATTGACATTACAATACAACAGAGTAACACAAACAACAAAATAGATTGACAATCAGGACTTCAAAAATTCAACAAGGATTTAATCTAAATCAAAATAGTCCCATTAATGTAGCTCAATTGGTGAGCTAAGGGACATGAAAAAGTTGCAACAAGGAGGTCCAGGGTTCAAATCCTGGAAACCAACATAGAATTTAATGATAGAACCTTGTAAAGCGAGTTGAACCTAAGAACCGAAGAGAGAGACATAAAAGTGGAAAACAAACAAGTATATTGGTAATTCCCATTGCTCCTTGCATTCCTTTTCATTTCAAGTCCAACAAATTTATTTGTGTAGCAACTCAGCCGCCGTGAATACAGGTTTTTTCATTTTTGCCCAATTCTCATTCCTTTGTCTTTTACAATTTGTTTTCATGATTTTTCAGAGAGACAAGAAACAAGTAATGAAACAAACAAGGTGTTCAAAAGAAAAAGCTATTGAGAAACTAATGACAAAATCAAGATGCATTATCTGAATATATTGGATAGGCATATGAACAGAAAAATCCAATCTGGAAAAGCAGTGTTTGCATACCTACAATTTATCCTCGTTGGACCCGTGATTTTTCGGAAGTTTGCGGAGTTCTTCTGTCAAACTGACGCACTCACCAACATTTTCAGGTGAGACAAAATCAAGTGCAACCTTGGTGCATGACTACAAAAGGACAATGCATATCATTGAAATTTACACAAACATTTCAGGTTGATGCTTAGAAATATGTCGTGTCTAACTTGCCTATTGACCATTCCAAATTAGGCTGGGCCAAACTTAGTAAGAATATCAATAGTGACTCTGTTGAATGGACATTCAACAAATAGACAATAAAAGAGGCCATAAGCCAAGAACTACTCATGCACTGGGGTGAACAAATACCTGACTACCTATATAGTAAAAAAATGTATATGTTTAGTGGGAATGTAAATTTTACGTTTAAATTTTTGACTTGATGAGGACAACCAGCTGGAATGAAAACAGCATCTCCTAGCTTCTAAGTGAAGGTCCAGGGCTCAATTCCTATAGGTCAATGTCAAACTATCAAAAAAATTGGTACAATTTGATTAACCAAACAAGCCCAACCTCTAAACAATATAGGAAAATCTGTATAATATTACTAACCACACTCCTGCTTAAGCTTCTCCTTATGCTCCATAGTTAGATAAAAGCTCTGATCATGGATGGGGTGAGTAACCTACATAGCCAAATGAGCCGAATATGAGCTAAAAATTAAGTTCATTAACTAAATGAGCCGAACTTAAACTATACATAGTTCGACTTGTTAGGTTCGTGAGTCAACTCGATTATATATGAGATGAATTATATTATTTTTAAGAGCAAGTTTAAATATATGAGATGAATTATATTTTTTTTAAGAGTAATTATATCTGACGATTTTAATTGATAATTTATATTCTCAAGAGAGCAAATTATTTCTAAAAAAATTATACAAATAGAATCAACATCGTATAAATTTCAATCTTATAAATTTTATTTTATTCTATATTTTTTATTTTAAAAAATATTAATTTAAAATGTCAAATATATATATATATATATATATATATATATATATATATATATATATATATATATATATATATATATATATATATATATATATATATATATATATATATATATATATATATATATATATATATATATATATATATATATATATATATATATATATATATATATATATATATATATAATAGACTTTAAAAAATTACTTTTGAGTCCGTGAAATAAGCGAGTTGGACCTAATAAGATAAACCTAACGAGTTGAACCGAAGAGAGAGACATGAAAGTGGAAAACAAACAAGTATATTGGTAATTCCCACTGTTCCTCGCATTCCTTTTCATTTCAAGTCCAACAAATTTATTTGTGTAGCAACTCAGCCGCCGCGAATACAGGTTTTTTCATTTTTGCCCAATTCTCATTCCTAATTCTACTTACTAGGTTTTGTTCATTGTATTGCAATTGTAGTTAATTCAGTACGTCTTTTATATTCCATTTTGATTATTAGGTCTTTAAAAAAGTTCCATAAAAATATGAGTAAAAGTTCCGAGATAGATTAAAAAGTTCCTTAAAACAAACAATGGCCAAAAAATATGAGGGACCTGCAATTGGAATTGATCTTGGCACAACCTATTCATATGTTGTTATATGGAAAGACAAAATCAAAGGAGCTGAGACCATTCATAATGATCATGGAAACAATGCCACTCCTTCTTTTGTTACTTTCACTAATGATCAAAGGTTTATTGGTCAAGCTGCAAAAGATCAGGCTGCTTCAAACCCTGCCAACATTGTCTTTGGTATTTGATCTCCCATTGATTATATATATATCGTTTTTCTGCTCAATTTTCATGAGAATAAACCAACTTTTATTGCTGCAGATGCAAAGAGATTGATTGGAAGGAAATAATATAGTGATTATGTTATTCAGAAGGGCATTCAATTGTGGCCATTTAAGGTCGTTCCTGGCAAAGACGATCATTGTTATGTATAAGGGGGAGGAGAAGTGCTTTTGTGCTGAGCAAATCTTATCTATGATTCTCAGGAACATTCGTGAGATTGCGGAGGAATTTTTAGAGTCACCTATCAAGAATGCAGTTGTTACCGTGCCTGCTTATTTTAATGATTCTCAGCAAAAAGCCACAAAACATGTTTGTGATATTGTTGGCCTTAATGTAATGAGGATAATCAATGAACCAACTGCAGTTTCCCTTGCATATGGCCTTCAAAAGAGAACAAATAATGTTGGAAAACGAAACGTGTTCATCTTTGATCTCGGTGGTTGCACATTCATTGTGACATATGGTTATTCTGGACATGCTTTTTTTATTGATCGTGTTATTCCCTATGGTTTGTGTAGACAACTTGATGAATTGCAGGCTTTATGAAATAACTTTTGAATTAGTCTGCAAGTTGTGTGCAAGTTATTAACATGATGATGCAAGGTATAAAAGGCATGAAGAAATTGTCAAGCTTGGCATAACATCGAGCGCTAAGCATTATTGGCTCATACTTGGGACAATCGTGGAGTGGACTTAGGAAGTAATACTTGGGGAGTCAACCGAGTCAAAGTCAATGGTCAACAGTTGTACCTCAAGGATCAACACCTGAAGGGAGTCAATGGTCAACATTTTAATCCTAACTTTCCTTGATTTTCCCTGTACATTTTCTGTCTTGATGATGACAAAACTATGTATTTTGATGACATAATTTTATACATAATCATAAACAGTAAGGAGTTACACTTCTGAGCATCCATATCGTCTACGTAAATTCCCTTGAACCTCAATATAATTTGTGCCAGTCAAGACGAGCCTATCATACAAACAGCAGAAAAACATCATACAGATAGGGGCGAACAAAATAAAACGAACAAGTACAAATTTACAGCCACGAGGGCCAATATTATCTAGTTACAAAAAAGTAAGACAATGAAAGGTCGTGCCCAGGAGCACCTTGATGAAAAGCACAAAAGGCATCCTCTTTATACCACCATGGGAGTTCCTCAAGAATGGCCGGTGGTGATTGAGTCTGAATCAAGTAGGGGTTAACCCTTACTTATTATTTATTAAAATATACCAGTCTCATACTTATTAGCATGAGATTTCTCGCTGTAATATGGTGGGAGAACTGACTTTTTGTGTTTTGACTTTGGAAAACATGTCGCGGTAAGCAAGAGTCACCACCGACTTTTATTTTATCCAATCAAGGAAAGGCATAAAAGAACAGGAAAGACCTTTTAAAAGATAATGAGTTCAGGGGGCAAGTTATACAAAGGGAATGTGTTAGCACCCTTTGTATCCATGGTTATCCATGGGCTCTTAATTGCTTATCTCACTTTGTTTGCTTATTTTGAAAAAGAGTTTGTGTTTAGAAAAAAGTTTAACTTTGCAATGATCCATGTGCGGATGTATACAAAGTGTTGATTTTCTTGAAGTATTTTGAAAAGACGTGGGGTGTGTGAATAGAAAAGCTTTGATTTTCTTATTGTGTGAGCAAGCAATTAAGATCTTACCTACTCAAGGTCTTTCTTGTAATTTTCCTATCCTTGATGAGGTGGACTGTCCTTATCATTAGTTGATAAGTAGTCGTACTCTTGGATGTGAAGGGAAGGGCGAAAGGACGTCGAATGGTCATCGAAGGCAACATGTAGGGATACCTTAGCCTTCGAAGGGATAATCATCATTTAGATCGAAGGGTCATCAAGGGACTAGATCATATTTACCAAAGGCAACATTCGAAGGGACATCAAGGGACTATGATCTTTTGAAACGAAGGGACAATGATGACTTTTTTTTTAGGGACTTGCTAAAGGTACCCCCACGTTCAAGGGACATGACCATTATTTTCGTAAGGCAACGAGAAGGGATTACCCTAGGGGTGAGTGTGTGAGAAAGTGTGTTCAATTCAGTTACGTTATCTTTGAAAATTAGGGTTTGCTACTGTTGACTTTATCTTGCCATACAATCCTATTAGCCATACATCTAACAGTTTATAATTGCGGAAAATAAACGCAGAAAATAAAACCTAAGCTATTACAGGGCTTTTGCAGTTACATAATAAAAAATGCGCGAAATATAAACCCTAATCTAATTTATAAGGCTTTTACAAGTACATGAATAATCGAGCAAAAATAAAATCGAGACGAAGTTAGAAAATAAGTTAAAGTTTTGAAAACCCTAATTACTAACCTAGATGTCTAAGTGAAAAATTAAAATCGGGTGAAATCTTAGGTCTAAATTGATTTTAAATTAATTAACCTAAAATTATTTATTTTTAACCTAATTAAATTATTCCTAAATTAACTAAATTAATTAATAAAATAAAATAATTACATTTGATTAATAAAATATTAAACTAATTAATTAAGTTATTAATTAAAACAAAATAAAGAAATATGAAAATGGTTAGAAAAAACAAAAGGAAAAGGAGTTAAGAATAAGTGCCCGACCCAAGGATCGATCCTAGGTCTCCAAGACTCCACACACGTTTGTCTTGCCATCTGCGCCACGCCTTTAACTCGTTCATCTAACGGCCTCAAATCAATACATAGTATATACGTAGACATTTGAATTTTTCAAACGAAATAAAATAAGTGGGCCCCTGTTTCACTGTGTAAACAAATCGGATCGCGCCATTATGCCACGCCAGGGTCAGCAAGTCTCGAACGGAGTCAACTGCCGGAGACTGACCTCCGGTCATCTTCTCCGGCGTCCTTGAATACCTGATCCTGCAAAATTGAATGCAAACAAACCAAAAAATAAACCAGATCGCATAATTAAGGCATTGCGAGTTCAATGGTGGTGGTCTTAAGTCCTGGAAATGGCTAGAATGTGAGATACGAAACTCTCCACTCTCGGAACCCTAGCAATGGTGTTCTACGTTTCAGGCATCCTGGGATCCATGCGATCGTACTAAATTATCCATGGACATCTCATAAACACATTAGAATCGTTAGTTACAATCAAAGCATAATAAAAACAAAAATATGAAATTTGAATATGTGATGCAATCGGAGATGATGATGAGCACGATTCAAGGACCTTTGGCCATGGAAACTGATAGATTCTATTTGGAATTGTTTAGATGATAGTTGGTAGAAGATAGTTTTAGAGAGTAGTTTAGAAAGAAGGTTTTGTGATTAATTTCTTGGATGATGGTTTACAATGTAGCAAATGCCTATTTATAGGCTCAAGTCACCAACCTTTCAATGGTGGTGAATATTCTAGAGTTCTCATGATAGGTTATTATCATGATAAATCTAGATTTTTCTATCTTTACCATATACTTATATATCTAGATTATTCTACCATATTCATACACCTTATAGTTTCTAGGATGTTCTATATTTTCTTACATATTATATTTAAGAACTCTCTAGAAATTTGTAGCAAATTTAACACTCCTCCTTGATAAAAATTTCTTTGACTCCAAGCATAGCTCGTAGCTCTTCAAATCTTGGTCTCGGCAACGCCTTCATGAATATGTCTGCAATTTGATCTTCTGTTCTGCAGTAGTCGAGTTTGATCTCTTTAGTTGCTTCAGCTTCTCTTATAAAGTGATACTTGATTGCTATATGTTTTGTTCTACTGTGATGCACTGGATTCTTTGCCATTGCAATTGCTGACTTGTTGTCTCAATTGATTTTAGTTGGCTAATCCTGTTTTTCTCCCATGTCTTCAAGTATCCTACGAAGCCATATAGCCTGACTCGTTGCTTCAGCAGCTGCCACGTACTCTGCTTCTGCTGTGGATTGTGCAACCGTAGCTTGCTTCTTCGACGCCCAAGAGAAAATTCCTGATCCGAGTGAGAAAGCATAGCCAGAGGTGCTCTTCATGTCATCTACCGAACCTGCCCAATCACTATCGATGTAGCCAAGTAATCTTGAGTTAGTTTCGGTAGAGTACCATATACCTAACTCTTTTGTTCCTTGTAGATATCTCAAAATTCTTTTTCCTGCTCCAAAGTGTATTTGACTTGGACTTTGCATGAATCTTGATAGAAGACTTGTAGCATACATTATGTCTGGCTGCGTAGCTGTCAAATATAGGAGGCTTCCAATTAAACTTCAATATTTGGATGCATCAGCTTCTGGTGCTCCATCATTCTTTTGTAGTTTCTCATTTGTTATGAGTGGGGTAGCGACAGGTTTGCAATCGTACATCTTGAATTTCTTAAGTAAGCCTTCTGTGTATTTCTTTTGTGAGATGAATATCCCTTCATTTCTTTGGATTACCTCTATACCGAGGAAGTAACTCATCAAACCAAGGTCGATCATCTCAAAGGTCTTCATCATGTCTTCTTTGAACTCCGTTATCATCTTAGTATTGTTTCCCGTGTAGATAAGGTCATCTACATATAGAGAGAGTAAGAGAGTGTACTGACCTTGAGACTTGATGTATAGTGTGGGCTCACTCTTGCTTCTCCTAAATCCTTGATCCATGAAATATTGATCGATTCTGCTATACCATGCTCGAGGACCTTGCTTCAAACCGTATAGTGCTTTTCTTAGTCTTAACACTTTGCTCTCTTCGCCTTTAGATATGAATCCTTGTGGCTGCTCCACATAGATCTCTTCTTCAAGTACACCATTGAGGAAGGAAGATTTGACATTCAGTTGATGTATACTCCATCCTTTTTGTGCCGCAAGAGCTATTAGAGCTCTAATGGTATCAAGACAAGCTACTGGTGCAAATGTCTCATTGTAGTCAACCCCAGGTTGTTGTGAGTAACCCTTAGCTACTAGCCTCGCCTTATGTTTCTGTATGGTACCATCAGGATTGAGCTTTGTCTTATAGACCCACTTAACCCCAATGATATCTTTTCCATGGGGACGATTTACTAACTCCCATGTGTTATTTTTCTCAATCATCTTTATCTCTTCTTCCATTGCCTTGACCCATGCTTCAT